TAGTACTACCATCAAAGTTCAACTTAGTGAAACCGAAATTTGGAGTCTACATTGGAGAGCACACAACTTTACTAGGAGCTGAAGATGCCACTTCCTTCCTATTATTCAGAAATACCATTGTAGAAATATCATCAAATAAATCCAAAGAATTCTCCCAATGAACCACCTTAGCAGTGATTACCTCAATAAGTGCCCCTTTACTCTCCTTTTCAACAAAAAATCTTTGGTTCCTTTCCTCCCATATTGTCCAACAAATTGCAAACTCTAGTGCATCTCCACAACACTCTTCCCCTCTTCTTTGTCCAGCTACTAACAGAAGAGTCAAATAGGCTTTGTACATTTGGTGGAGTCCAAACCAAACAAAAAGAAAAACCAATCCCAAATAGATAAAACAAAAGGGTAGGAAATTAACAAGTAATAGCAAGACTTACCTTTAGCTTTACAAAGGCCCCATTTGGTGCATCTTTTCGCGCGGTTTGTTGGCTATTTACAAGCCTGGCAAACCGCGATTCGATCTTTTCCCATTTGGTTTGTAGCAGATCTAGCCGCCAAAAGCTGACATGCCGAAAAGACGTGAGAAGCCCAAATCGGGCTATTTTTGAGAAGCTCCAAATGGAGCTTTTGAAATTTTTTTTTCTATTTGTCTTTGCATGGAAAGACACACCTTAACCAAACGGGCTTCAGGCTGCTCATATCTTAATGCAAAAGCTCAATGCACATTTTGACTGTCAGAGCTTTTGCATTTTTTTTCTATTCGTCTTCGCGCAGAAAGACACGCCTTAACCAAACGGGCTTCAGGCTGCTCAGATCTTAATGCAAAAGCTCAATGCGTCTTTTGACTGTCAGAGCTACAAGAAGATCTTCCCAAAAAGACTTGCCAAACAGCCCCAAAGAATGCACTAGTTAGGGGATAAGCACCAAAAAAATGCTTTTTTCTTTGAAGTAGATCATAGGTGTTGTTCCTTCCCAAGAAGACTTCCCAACAGAAGGTCCTAATCCTTGGAGGAATTGGTTTACCCAAAACAGAAGAAGATAGGGTCAAAATCCAAGAATCCATTTTTTTATCAATAACAATTTTTCATTAAAACGAAACAAAATTAATTACAAGGAAGGGGAGATAAACTTTCTTAACTCCCCGGGTAAGGCAAGAGCCCCCAGAAAAACAGTAAAGTAACAGAGCCCAAAATAAAGATCCCCGAGCCACCCCTTGCTTAGCTAACCCATCAGCAAAACAGTTAGCAGATCTCTTCACCTAACTGTACTTCACTTCCATGTCCTTTGCCTACCACTTGTAATTTTTCTTTTCATTGCTAAAGTTCCACAACCTTGCCTTATCCTCTTTTAGGCATCCTACTACCACCTCCGAGTCACCTTCAACCACAAGTCTCCTTATATTCAAATCCTTTGCTCTTTGGATTCCTTCCAGAACCGAAAAGATCTCAGCCCTGAGGGAATCACCTACCCCTATAGGGTCTGAAAACATAGCTGAAATAATCCCTTTCTCATCCTTAAATACTCCCCCAATACCAGATCATCTTGGGTTCCCTCTACTACTTCCATCAAAGCTCAACTTTATAAACCCAATAGGGGGATGGGTCCAAGGACTAATCCTAGTTCTAATCTAAGCAACACTAGCAATCTCCTCCTACTTTCTCAGCAAGTCCTCCAGAGTAAAATCGGTAAATAAATCTGAGGTCTTAAACCATTGTGTTGCCCTTAAGTGGATTAGTTCTATTACAATTTCAATACTCCTCTCCTATCTGAGAAGATCCTTGAATTCCTTTCTTCCCACAACGTCCAACATACAGTAGCCCTTAGGCACCTCCACATGATCCTTTCTCTTTTTAAACACCACTTAAAAAAGGAGGAAGAAAATAAAGTTGGAACATTCAAAGAGGGGTTCCACCTACATCCAAAAAGGGAGAATACCCACTCCCAAATTATTTTTGCAAAATGTCAACTAAAAGGTGATAACTAGTCTCCCCATCAACTTTGCAAAGAATGCACCTATGCGAGGATAAGCAAATCTTGGGCCTCTTTCTTTGAAGCAAATCACCAGTGTTGAATCAGTAAATAAATCACCAGTGTTGAGTTAAGCTTTGGAAAAAGAAGGCACAAGAGAAATAGCCCGAAGAGGATGGAGTCCAAATTCTGGCACCTCCCTTTGTAGGGCCCAAGAAAACATTTTCAAGGATGCCCAACGAAGTCAAGGTGTTGTCCATATCTATATCCCTTAGAGCCCTTCTCAAGCCTAAATTCTACCCAAACCCAGAACTGGAAGTAGAAGGGAAAATGAAGGAGGAAATGGGCTCATTTTTTAGTTTAGGAAGAGCATACAAAGAGGGGAATTGATCCTTTAGAAGGGTATTACCCACCTAAGTTTGTTCTTAAAACTTTATAAGGTTGCCCAAATTTAAATCATACCTGATCAGAGGGGAGAAAATTGGAAGCAAATCATGAATGGCTTTCCAAGGTGAAGCACTTGTAGTACTTGCCAGAATTCTAGGATCTCAACCATTGTCCTTGAGCCCATAAATGCTAGCCACTATCCTAACCCATAACTTCTCCTTCTCTAGAGGGAACCTCCATAACCACTTTCCCAACAAGGCCATATTCCTTATCCTAATGTTCCCTATCCCAAGACCTCCTAACTTCTTGCTTCTAGTCACCACCTCCCAATCCACTCTATGATCCCTTTTTTCCTCTCCCGATTCCCACAAAAAATCTCTCATCAACTTTTCCAACCTATTGGACACCTTTGCTGAAATCTTTAACACGTACAAGAAATAAATGGGCAAATTGGCTAGGGCAGCCCTAATTAAGGTGATCCTTCCCCCAAGAGACAAATAATTCTTCTTCCAAGAGGCAAGTCTTTTCTTAAGCCTTTCCACAACCGAATTCCAAAAGTTGCCTTTCTACCTTTCTTGGGATTATCTCCTAGGAGTAAGCCTAAGTAATTCAGGTGCCAACTTGAGACTGTACAACCTAGCAAATTTGCACACTCCCCAACCTCCCTCTCCTCCATGTTCACACCCACTACACAACTCTTCTCAAAATTCACCTTAAGATTGGACATCTGTTCAAGGAGTTGTATCACCATTTCCAAATTTCTAATCCAACTTGAGTCCCCTCCCTCGTAGAATAGAATTGTGCCATCTACAAATTGTAAATGGGTAAGTGGAACCTCCTCCCTTCCTAATCTCCACCCTCTTATCAAACTCCTCGAGTCTGCTCTCTAAATCAATCTTCCTAGAACATCTGCCACTAGGGTAAACAAGAAGGGGGAAAGTGGGTCTCCTTGTCTTAATCCTCTTAAAGTTGGAAAAAGTCCACCATTAACCCATTTACTAACACATAGTAGTGGCAGTTTTGGACACATCCCATGATCCATTTACACCGTCTTCTCCCAAACTCAAAGTCCACCACCTTCTTCCTAACCTTCTTGAAATTCTCCACACTTTCATTTGCAATTAGAATTTGATCAATTATTTGTCTCCCCTTCACAAAAGCTCCATGGTTTGGTGCAATAATGGTAGGCGGTACTAGCTTTAGTCTTAGAGACAACACATTTGCAATTATCTTATACCAACTATTTACCAAGCTGATGGGCCTGAAATATTTTGGGTGTAAGGCATCCTTCTTTGGGACCAAAGCAATAAAAGTGGAGTTCAGCCCAGGATTAATCACTACCCCCCTATGAAACTCATCAAACACTAGAATTAAGTCCTTTTCCAATATTTCCTAACAATCCTAATAGAAGGTCATTATGAATCCATATGGGCCCAAAGCTTTTGTTCTATCCATGGAAAAAACAGCCTCCTTTACTTCTTCCACTTCAAACCTCATTTCTAGTTTCTCTCTATTTTCAGCCCCAGTACTTGGCCAATCCAATCCTTCCAGCCAAACCCTCTCACCTAAAGGTCTCCTAAAGATGGATTTGAAGTGATCTATAAATGCCCCTGCTATCTCATCCAGGTGGGGGAGGACTAAGCCCTCAATTTCCAGCTTTGAAATATAATTCTTTCTTCTCCTCCCATTTGCTACCGCATGAAAAAAACTTGTATTCTTGTCTCCCCCCTTCAACCATTTACACTGAGACGGAGCAGCCACCTAGCTAATCCCCCTTGTCCTCCATACACTCCTTGCCCATCTAAAATCAAAGTCCATTATTTTGGACTCCTAAATAAGCACTACATCCAGATTGAACTTCCTAATCACCCCTTTAGTTGTAGCTCTCTTACTTGCACTTCCCAATCCCCTCATGTTCCAGCTAAGAATCCTCATGAAACCTTTTGTTTTGCACCCTTCCTACACCCGCCCTGTACTTCAGCCCTTTCCTTCTCTCACCCTTTACACTAAATTGCCTATCTTCTTCTACATCCCTTTTTAGTCTCTCAACCTCACTCAGTTTTCTTTTCTTGGTCTTACTCTCCTCCTTTTGTAGGATCCAAGAAAACCCTTGGTAATATTTGAAGCAATGCCAAGGCATTGTCCATATCTAAGTCTTTGATTCCCCTCCTAAAACCCAAGTTCCATTCAAGCTCAAAACCCACTCATAAAAGGTAGGAAGCTTATCAATCAAACATAGAGGTAAATTTCTGTTGTGAGACCTAGTTTGTAGTCCTATTCTTAGTAGTCAACTACTATCAGCATACTGTTCCTAGTAGTCGACTACTAGGACGCTGTTGTAATTTTTCTTTTGTATTTGATCGCCCTAGTATATAATAGAAGGTCTGGTGCCGCCAGCATAACTTTTTTGCCTCTCATATCTTTTCTTCTTCTCTTCTTCTCCTCTTCTCTTCTTTCTTCTTCTTCTTCTTAGAAAACAATTTCAAATCAATGACAAACAATCCTTATTCCTCAATAAGGAAGCTTATCAATCAACCACAAAGGATATTCAAGATAACATGGCAAGAATGAAAGTTGTGTACCAAGGATAGAAAGAAAGAGGGTAATAAGGGAGAGAAAAGGGGGGAATCAACTGAAGAAATAAGACTTACTTATATTCACATGTAAATGCTCTGCCTTCAAAAATTTGTAGTGTTTGAGGAACTCCATTGGCAATTCTGTCACAAAGAACACATAATACAAAAAATTATGTTAACTAAATATAGACAAAATCATATACAACATCAAGGTACACTTTATGAAGAAATACAAATGGAAATGAAGATTAATAACAACCATAAACGATTACCTTGCAAGCATGGGCCTAATGGGAATGCCTGGAACCATTGACAAGGTTGTGGAAGAAAACTCAATTCCTTTGCTCATGAGAGAAGGGACAACTAAATCCTTTACATACAAATCCAGTGCATTAACACATGACAAGAGTAACAAAAGCTATCAAACAAGGCCACAAATGTTTCAAACACAAAATAAAATGCAAAAAAAAAAAAAATAAAACAAAGATTCACCAATGAAGAAGATAATCCTATTGTAACCTTAAGGCATTCTTGTTTCTTCTTCCATCAACCTTTCACATGAATGAGTATGATTATGCATGTGTTTGTTAATATTGTCAACTCAGTTCGACTAAGAGAAAAACAAGAATGAAAGGGTGTGTTCAAATGAGTCACATGCCCAAAAATATTATCTTATATATGTAATTTGTACAAGAATGAGAAAGGGCAATTATGTCCCTCACTTACAAGAAAGAATAAAACAGAAAAAAAGATAGTGTACATATGATACAACAGAAATGTGTGCTCCTAGGAGCCAAAAAGGGAAATAAAGTGTAAGAGACGTAAATCAGTCTCTACACCCCCTTCAAACTGATGCCGAGGTGCAAGCATCAGTTTGTCAAGTAGAAACTGGTGACGAGCATGGATCATGGCCTTTGTGAATAAATCAGCCAACTGTAAATCAGAGGGCACATGTAACAAGCATATATGTCCAGCAGAAAACAGATCTCTAATGAAATGGCAGTCAACTTCTATATGCTTAGTCCACTCATGGAAAATGGGGTTGGAGGCAATGAGAGACCAAGGTCATCAAGGAGAGCCCTGAGCCATACAATCTCACTACACACAAAGGACATAGCACTATACTTAGCCTCAGTAGAAGATTTGGAAACAGTCTGCTGCTTCTTACATTTCCAAGATATGAGAGAATCTCCAAGAAAGACACACCAGTCAGTAGTAGAGCATGGAGTGTATGAGCATCCTGTCCAATTAGCATTTGCTCAAGCTGATAGGCTAAGAGATGTGGATGTATGAAAGAACAAGCCATGTGACAGTTCCACTAACACATATGATAATACAAAGAACTGCAGCCATGTGAGGTCGCCAAGGAGAAGAAACAAATTGACTGACTACTTGGACCGCATAAGAAATATCTGGGCATGTCATGGTGAGGTAGATAAAACTACCAACAAGCTGTCGATAAAGAGTTCTATCAGCAAGAATTTTCCCATCATCCTTGCAGAGTTTTAAATTCCACATACCCCCCAAAGACCATTCCCCTCAACAAAGAACTGGAAATGGAACTTCCAGAAAGCATAACTAGTCCCATCAAACTTCACTGGGAGGATATCCCTTTTCTCCAGAGCCATTTCAGCAGAAGGATTCAAGAAAACCTAAGAAAAATAGGGCATCCGTACCACCAAATGAACCAAAACTAGATATCAGATAAGTGTGCAATCACACAACACAAAGAGGGATCAAGATCCAACTACAGATCAGCCAAACAAAGGTTGAAGACTGATGGAAGTCCCAAAAAAAACTAAGTTTACTGGACTATCGAACAAGGAGGAGAACAAAACACCCCCCAAAAGCTATCCGATCAAAAAAAATTATAGAACCAATTAAAACTGACCTGGGCAACTTCAGATCTGAAATTTCACAGTGATTGAAGCAGCTGATCAAGAGAAAGAGTGGAAACTTTAGGGCTGAAGGCGATTTTCCAGAAACAAGTGGAAAACTTGTGCTGATCAGTACAGCATCCAGAGTGTTCCCAAAATGATGTAGATAGGTCGAGACAGGTTTGAGAGACTTGCTCTGATACCATGTCAACTCAGTTCAAATAAGAGAAAACCAGAATGAAAGGGTGTGTTCAAATGAGTCACACGCCCAAAAATATTATCTTATATATGTAATTTGTACAAGAATGAGAAAGGACAATCATGCCCCTCACTTACAAGAAAGAATAAAAAATAGAAAAAAGGATAATGTACATATGATACAACATAAACATGTGCTCCCAACAGCTAAAAAGGGAAAGAAAGTGTAAGAGATGTAAATCAGTCTCTACAAATATGCCCATGTCCATGCCCTAAAATGTACTTATCTCCTGTAGAGAACACTAATGTGGACCCCACTAAGGTGGTCCCCACTGTTCGTATGGCAGCAATAAGTTATGATTAGGATTAGTTCTTTGTGATAAGATTAGGACTAGTCTTTTATAAGATTAGGACTAGTCTTTTTTTCGGCTTTATCTTATCTTATCTTGCCATGTAAGCAATTCAGTCCTTTTACAAGTATGATACTATGTATATAAATTTAAGAGGGGGGCGGCTATTTAAACACATCAACCCAACTCTCTTTTATCAAAATCTCTCTCTCTCTCTCTCTCTCTCTCTCCCTCTTCTTTTCTTATTTTTTTTCTCCTTTTAAGTGTTTGTTCAATCCTGAGCGACTACTTGGTATCAGAGCATTCGATCTAGGGTTTCCCATGTGAAATTAATTCAGCCGACCACATGAAAATTATTTAGGGCTGAATTTTTTCATTCGACTGATTCTTGGAGATTACAAGAAGTCTTCAGCAACTGTCCAAGGATTGGAAAGTGCTCCTTGTAATCAGGAAGAATCAGAGAAGAATTAAGTGATCAAGGTTAGGTCTTTGGTCAAGATTGGAGGTGCCAATCAGATTTTTTGGTTCTCTCATCAAGATTGAAGTTGGYGATCAAGAAGWTTTTTCTCYGWGAYCAGTTCTGTTTCAGAAGTTTCTCGGGTTGATCAGAATCAAGATCAGTTTTGAGAAAACTGAAGTTGGCGATCAGAATTTCAGCAAGAATTTTTTGAATCAAGATCAGGTTTTTTTTTCTCAGAAATTCCTGGGTAAGGTCTTATTCCTTCTTGAGGACTAAGGATTGCTTAATTTGTGAGGTACGGTTATATAGAATTTATTTTTTTCTTTTTCTCTTCTAGGGTTTTAAGAGAAAACCCTGAAATCCAGGACTGTTATTGTGTCTGGATAAGAGATTAGACTTGTTTTTAAGTTTGGCTGGTATCAGATATCTGTTCTCTGATCTTTGTTTTTGGAGTTCTGTACCCAGGCCAACTGCTATTAGTTCTCAGATTTTGTAGGCTGATTGATACAGTGATACAGTGAATTGGAATTTTTTTTTCTTTCTCTGAATCTGATTTATGCTTCTAGACCTACTGTCGTTAGTTTTTTCAGACCCAGTAGGCTGATTGTTGCAGTAAATAGAAGGTGCTTTTTGCTTAACCCCTAACCAAGAATGGAGTTCAAGCACCAAGGGGAGGGTGTTTTTGGGACTGGTTCAGGTGACATGACTGAAAACACCTTCCAGATTACAACTGTAAAATTTAATGGTTCAAACTGCTTAGAGTGGGCCCAATCAGCCATGATGGCCATTGGGGGATGAGGAAAGCTGAACTATTTGTTGGGAGATGTGAAGGAACCAAATAAGGAGGATCCCACTTATGCTAAGTGGATTCAGGAAAATTATTTAGTGATGACATGGCTGTGCAATTCTGTGCAGCCACACGTCAGCCGAAACTACTTATGGGCAAAAACAGCTACAGAAATATGGGATGTTGTGAAAGAAACCTACTCTCAGCCCCTTAATGTTGCTAGGGCTTATGAGCTGAAATGTGAGGTTAAAAATCTCAAGCAAGGTGAGAAACAAGTTTCTGTTTATTTTTCAATCTTGAAATCCCTGTGGCATGAAATTGACCACCTTGAATCAATTGAATGGGAAAGTCAGAAGGATGCACAAATTTACAGAAAGCATATTGAAACTAATATAGTGTTTGAGTTCCTGGCTGGTCTAAATTCGGAATATGATATTGTGAGACAACAACTGTTGACAAGAGACAGTGTAACTCTGTCCCAGGCCTATTCCTTAGTGCACAACGAAGAGACTAGGAGAAAAGTTATGCTACAACAACAACCTTTTGAATCAGCTCTGGCAGCAGTTAAGCCCAAATTTGGGAGTGATAAGGAAAAAGACATGAAGAAGGAAGCTAAGAAGGACCTAGTATGTGAGCATTGCAAGAAACCTAAACATACTAAAGAGACCTGTTGGAAGTTACATCCACATCTAGTTCCAGTAAAACTCAGAAACAAAAAGGGGAATGCAAATATGGCTATTAACACTGATAGTACAACATCATCTAGCACAAGAGGCAATCCTCTAGATACTCTAGCTGCTGACCGAGCTGCTCTAGTTCAGTTGGAAAATGAAGYTGGTAATTCAGCTCCACCTCCTCAGACACCATCAGTACCCCCTACCTCAGCTTTTGCTCATTCAGGTAATCGGGCCTTAGCTCACCATGCCTCAGTTACAGGTAATACAGAACGTTCATGGATAATAGATTTTGGAGCATCTAACCATGATTGGCTTGCCGTCACTATTTACTACCTATCACTTATCTTCAGGCAGAGACAAAGTGTCCATTGCTGATGGCTCCCTCGTTCCTATTTCTGGCAAGGGAGACATCAAGTTGTCTAATGCCATTTCCTTTATCTTCGGTTTTACATGTTCCTAAGCTTAGTACTAACTTGCTTTCAATTAGTAGCATTACAAAAAACCAGAATTGTTCAGTAACATTTTTTCCGGATCGATGTGTTTTTCAGGATCTGGAGACAAGTAAGGTAATTGGGATTGGCTGTGAGGCAAATGGAGTCTATCTGCTTGGAGGGAGTCCTAATTGGGAAGATAGTGAGACTACGAGGTCTTGTGTTTCTCAATCTGTTGATCAGGCTATGCTTTGGCATAATAGGATGGGTCATTTATCTTTTCGGGCTTTGAAGAGTTTGTTTCCTAGTTTATTTGAATCTATCCAGATGTCTAGTTTGAAATGTGAGAGTTGTGAACTTGCAAAACACAGCAGGACAACCTATTCATTAAGTAATAATAGAAGTAATATTCCCTTTGAAATTATGCATACTGATGTTTGGAGACCTTACCATACCACTGCCATGGGGGGGTACAGATATTTCCTACTGTTTGTTGATGATTATACTCGTTTTTCGTGGATTTATCTCATGCATTCTCGAGATGAGGTTCCAACATTAACCCGGATCTTTCATCAGATGATTTTAACCCA